ATTAATTACTTCTAAAAAAATTTGGGTGACTCAAATAAATTCTTTGGTAAATTTGATAATAATAAATTATATAAAAAAATATAATCCTCTTTTTCTAGATCCTTTTTTATTTTACTTAAAATTCATATTTAAAATTTTTAATTTTTAACTATTGACCATCTCTTCAAAATAGTATTTAAACAATGATTACCTAAGGTGAGGAAGGATGCAAGAAAGGGTGAGGTTCCGCAGTCGAAGAAGAGATGGGCTCTGCAACTGCGGCTGACATTAGGGGTGTCCATGGATAGATATGTGTTAGGTATTTATCCATACTTATATTTGATTTAAATAGTGATAAGTATAAGATTTTAATATTTAATATTTATTTAAGTAATAAAAATTTATACTTATTACTCAACTTGCTCAGTACAAGTACATTCACAAATATAATTGTATACTTATTAAATTTTACACTAAAAATATATAAATTAATATACAACTATAAATACATATATATAATACAAATTTATATATAAAACAAAATATGTAAATATATACACTCACATATACACAAATTTATATATATAATAACAAAAAAAAATATAAATGAAAATTCGCATGATTTTTTTTTAGTTAAATCTTCACTATCAAAAGAAAAGAAAAAAAAATAAACATTTTAATTTCATAGTATTATATTACAAATTAAGCATATAAAACTAAAATATAGATCAAATATATGAATTAGATACACAAGTCAAATATATGGGTCAAGTATACAGATCATGTATGTAGGCATTAACCTTTATATTCAATACTTACCTAATATTTAACATGTATATATTTTTCATATCCAATATTTAATTGTCTCTTTATATATATAGGTAAAATATCTATCTCAGGCATTTATATACCCATATTTGATACTCAGCCCTAGCTGCCATCCAACAAATGCAAAGGCCCAATATTTTTGGACTTTGGACCTCCTTGAAGCCCATGTTATGGGGGTATTGCGTTTTGGGTACCAGGAGTTACTAAAATGACTAAATTAGCCTCGTAATGGAATCGAAAATTCACAATAACTTCAAATTATCGGTTGTGCGATATATCACGAAATATTTGGAAAAAAAATGACAGCAATATTCTATAAAAATAATGATAAATAACACGAAAATTTTAAAGTTAAAATTTGAAATTAATAACTTGTTACACTATATTATTTACAATGATTAATTTTTTTATTTTATTAAATTTTATAATATTATATATTAATTTATTTAATAATATAAATTATACTACCGTCAGTGACACCAAATTTTCACCGCTCATTTTTCTCTTATTTATCAATTATCACTATTTTTTTAAAAAAAAAAAATCTTATATCCGTACTTTTAATAAAACCAACCAGCGCCATGATAATGATAGTAGTCTGTCAAAAGCAGAGTACCCTGGTTCAGGAGCAAACATCACACTTATCAACAGTTTTCACTTTTCAGTAAAATAGCTCAAAATTGACCTATTTTCATCATCAGAAACAACGCAAGGATAAGGGAAAGGAAAATGAAGGAAAATAATTTACCTGATCAAGAGTTGTCTTAAACAAGAAAGGAAAAGGAAGGGAAACTTCTTTTGCTTAATTATTCTTCAGAGTGCCCTGCATTTTGTGTTTATACAAGACATCATTAACCCTCTGTCCGTGACTTGGAGAGAGGATAATCAGACCCATTGACAACATTTTGTCCTTTTTTCTGTTTTGTGCATTATAGAAGGGAAATAAAGGGTTTGTTGTGGTTTTGTTGGAGAGGAGAAGCCCTGAGCCAGAAAGTAAGAAGAGTGGAGCATCTTCTTCTACCATGAGGAAGAGAATACCAGTGTTCCAGTGCTTGTTATTAGTTGGTTGCTATCTGGGTATGTTCTGTTTTCTTGTTCTGGGGTTGCTTTCTCTTCAAGCTTTGTTCTTTCTCAGTTGTTTGTTTTTGGATTTAATGTGTATGTGTTTTTATTCTGTTTTTTCATGGTTTCCAGAAGCTTGAGGTAGTTTCTAGGTTGAGACATTGTTTCTCCATCGTCGTAAAATAATCATTTCTAATAAAATATAGCACTAGTTTTCTTTTCTTTTGTGGAGGAAAGAGAAATATTCTGTAATCTAAACAATCTAATTTATATTGAAACTAAGCTGACTATATAATGGAATGCTTGTTTTTTGTCTTGAAATCTAGGCCTTGTCTTCACCTTCACTTTCTTGTTTCTTTCTGTTCTTTCTCCTTAGAAAAGTTATGTAATTAGTAAAATATTCAGGAGTCAGGAGAGAATCCCTTCCTCACCAATCGCTAGGGTTTTGTTTCAGTGACAGAATCCTAGTTAAATTTATTTATTTTAGTTAAATTCATATAAAATATTATTTAGCATTGCAATGCCAATTGATGACATTTTTGTCTTTTACTGCCCATACTTTGTTGTAAATGACTTCGAGGTCTCCTGATTTCTTAATCGAGGCTCTTAAATCCATTAGCTGGAAGAATGAAGTCCTACTAACATGTTTAACCAAACTTTATTACTAGCTAATATATAAACTAGGAGTTTCATGTTTTACTATCTGAACTATAATACACTATAAAACATGGGTTATTGAATGGGGAATGGTCCCCAATGTCAATGACATTGAACTGCAAAATAGGAGTCATTGGATGGGGAACGGCCCTTATATCAAGGGCCCACTCTCATGTAATAGTAAGTGCTGTGTATTTTGAACTATATCAAACTGTGGAATACTTTTTTGATAAATTAGAGTGAATTAGATAAATTAAATTGAACATACCGTACTGCTGATTCAGGCTTGGGCATCATTTAGTTCAACATTATCTAAGTTATCTAACCCACTACTTAGTTTTATAGCTGCTAAATGGACATTCTGTTGTATTGTTAAGTAATTATGAGTAAGTAAAAGTTTAGTCGAATGGGTATTTACTAGCTCTAGAACTGTGATTTTGGGTCCAAGGTCATGAATTTAGACCCTTTCTATGCTAAACACTTGTTTTTGCTGATGTATAAAGAAAAGGAATTAGCAATTGTCATTTTTGGGTCCAAGGGGAGAAATAAGCAATTAAGAATAGAAATATAGATGACAGACAAAAGTCTAGTTGGGGCAAAAACACTTTGCTTCCCTGAAGCAACTTAGCGGCTGATGCTCTAGGGACCCCATATTTTCTCTTTTTTTATGTTTAATTTGTTCAAAAGTTCAAAGTTAATATCAAGCACTGTTCAAAGGGGACTATATATTTAGTTTATTTCAGTTAGGTTCTTCAAATCTTTTGAAACATTCCTTGCATACTTGCATAGGGTGATTCATTAAGGGTGCTCAAATGTCATTTTCGTTTGTATTTTGGTGTCTAATTTTCTTATGCATGTGTTCAGTAATGCATACAATGGAGACATCAGTTCAGGAGAAGGCTGATGCAACTATTCCAGTCACTACCCTTTCCCCTCCAGAAGGTAACACAACCTTCATTGATGGCACAACATGGTGTGTGGCCCTTGCTGGAGTCTCCCAAACTGATCTACAAAATGCACTAGACTGGGCCTGTGGTTTAGGAATGGCTGATTGCAGTGCAATCCAGGAGGGTGGAGCGTGTTACGAACCAGACACTCTCGTATCCCATGCCTCTTATGCTTTCAACAATTACTACCAACAGAATGGAAACTCGGATATTGCTTGCAATTTCGGAGGAACTGCCTCTGTAACCAAAAATAACCCCAGTAAGCAATCTATTTACCTGACATTGTTTAACAATTCGACAGTATAATAATATCCTTGTGCTAATTTATTAGTCTCATTACTTGTATAAATACAGGCTATGCAAAGTGTGTGTATGCTGCACCAGGGTATGTTCATACACCATTCTAATAATTGGGGCAATGTTCATTCATTCTCTGAACAAAAAAATACTATATATTTTGGTATTTTTGTTGTGTTTTTGCAGATCTGTGGGATCTTCAGCACCTGGATTATCAAAGCCAAGCTTTTTATGGTGGAAACTTGTGGGGTTTTTGTTACTTTTGTACATGGGAAGCTGATATCCAGAGATTGGCAATTGCTGATGAAGCTGAATGGTATTTACTTGTTTTTGTAGAACCGTCAGATGTTGGTAATGTAAAGTTAAGTTGGTTGGTTATGGTTATGATTAGATCTCATCAGAGAACACGTTGGATGATCAATGTTTTGTAATGACAATGTGGTGCATGTTAGGATTCCTGTCTTTGTCGCTGGGTTAGGAATCAAAAGCAATGTAATCTCTGTTTCTGTGTTCTATATCTTGCACTTTTTGACCTTAACATGAAACAAGGAAATTAAACTTTGTGAAGTGACAATGTTACACATAGGTAATTTGTCTTGTAATATCGGGAATTCTCATGAGAAATTGAGGGAGAAAATGGGATTTTTGAGAATTCAATTCAAGGAGTGAAAACAGGGTGTGAATAGATTAACCGGAATAACTGAGGACGCAGGGGAAATGG